GTCCTGTTCCGGACAGACATCGCGCGCGCAAACGCGTCCAACGTCGATTCCTTTCTCCGTTCCACCGTTCAGATCTCCGCCTGATAATTGGCCGACAAATCGCGCGTTTAACGAACAACGCCTCCAACTTTTCCAACCGTTCCGATCCCATCTTTCTTCTTCGTCTCGACGAGAAAATACGAGATCGAGTTTCGACGAAGAAGCTTCTTCGCCTCTTTTTCTTTTTTTCTTTTTTTTTTTTTTTTTTTTTTCTTAATTCTTGAGCGAATCTCGCGAGGAAAAACTTTTTTCTTCTCCGTGGAAAAAGTCAGCCGCTTAAACTGCGGCTACTTTTAGCCGATTGCTTTAAACGAAAAAAAATATATTTTACTAAATTATATATATTTTACTATATTTTACTATTTTACTAAAATAAAACGGCTGTTCAACATCATGTGTATTCAAAATATTTATTGGTTTCCGAGACAATAAGTTGTCATAAGTTGTTCGTTAAAATATTTAGAATGGTATTCGTATTCACTATGTTTATATCAAAATATAAATTAACGTTTATATATCAGATCCGCCTCTGGCTGTAATTTTGGCGTGTGATTTATAAATCACACTCGAAGTTAAAAGAGGATCGGAGAAAATTGTAACCTCGATTTCAATGTGGTGAGACCGATCGATCGGTATCCGTCCGAGGAAGATTTGTTAAAAGAAAATTTTTTTCGCCAAGATTGCGAATCGGTTGGGCGTCGCATACCGCTCTGCCATTCGAGAAAACTTTGCAAACTGGAATGAGAGCTACTTTACTTATCACGCTTTCCAACCGTTGGCCAACCGTCGAATCGTGGAAATTAACCGGAAAGATCGAGACGCAAAAGACGCCGATTCCAAACGGGAATTCCGATTCATCCTACTTTTATCATAACGAGTCCATTCAGTATCAGAAAGAGATATTAAAGCCATCGTTTGTAGGTAACGCGAATAAATTCGATCGACAAAACAAAGATTCGCATTTATTCAATTTTTTAATACAACTTGCACGCAAGTGCAAATTTATTTTATTTTCAATAGTTTGACAGAGCGGATACAGTTCTCCAATGTTTTCTTCAATTTAGACGGAGATAAAATAGCACACTTGCGTGCAAGTTGTATTAAAAAATTGAATAAATAATATTTATTCGTAGCTATAAACCTCGGTCGTTTTATTCGCGATTATTATTATGTTTTGAACGATAAATTATTAAGAAGTAACTTATTATTAATTATTATAATTTCCTCTAACTTCTTCTTAGTTTCTATTTTTTCACGAAAAATAATGATCGAATCGAGGAAAAACGAAGGCTCGTGACAGGCTTGTAGATCGAATCAATTGGAATAAAATTTCAATAGAATTGAGATCGAATGAAATCCGCAGCAATGATACAATCGATTGAACGGTTAAAGTGAACCACCATTCGTTCGCTCGAAGCTCATAATATTGTACACAGTCCTGTATGCATTACCCTTCGAATAAATAATTTAATTCAAGCACCACATTTCTGCGATATTCAAAGTCGTTCATCGTTTTGGATTTTCACATCGATTTTACTCTCGCGATTTTGAGGTTAGAATGCATTTATCGAACGAAACAGACACGTTGAGAATAAATCGAACTTTGAATGCGACGAACACTTTGGAATTCGATCGATTTTAGGTTATGTCTAAACTCGTATGCCTCGCGTGGACGAGAATTATCGTAGCAAAGGGAATGGTTCGTGGACGCGAAGTCCGGGACGGAAGCACAGACGCTTATTTAATGCATGATCGCAGGACGAGACGCAGCAAACTCGCCCCAAAGCCGAGAAGACGCGGTGTCGCGTCCCATTGGTGGGAACGAAAGGCGAGATAGACAGGTAACGGGTAGCGATGGGAATGCAAGCGACAGATCCAAATACAGAGTCAAAAGCCCTCTCTCTCTCTCTCTCTCTTCTTTCACCGTTTCGAAAATCCTCCAACTTGATCTCTTTCTTCCTAATCCGTCCAATCGAATACCTTTTCTTTTTTCCCCCTTTCTTTCTTCTAACAAGGTGGTATACCTCTGCTCAATGGAACACTGATAAACTTCCTTCCTTCCTTCCTTCCTTCCTTTCTTCCTTCTCTTTGTCGCGGCGAAACACGGCTTCGAGCGACGCGACGACAAACGCTCGAAACGTCCCTCGAGCGATGACCACGTGACATGTCTCTCAAGGACGATTCCGCGATATGCGAAACGGTAACGCATGCGCATAACGAAATTGGCGTGAAATTTCTCGAAAAAGAACGAGGGAAAAAAACGGGGAAAACGGGTGTGAATAGATGGGAAATAAGCGATCCGATATCACTTTCGACGAACGCGATGTACTTTAATGGAAATCTGTAACGAATACGGGTTTCGCGCGATCTACGATCGATCACCGTTACGCGTTCATCACAACTTTCCATCCATTGCTATTCGAGGAACGAGATGGAGCGTTTATTGTACTACTCGACCATTCTCCTCCTACTTTCTCCCTCTCCATCTCCCTCTCCCTCTCCCCGCTTCGATTTCCGATCGTTGCGCGCTCGACAAACGGAAAAATTTACCGATTCTATTTCTGGCGTGCGTCACGCGTTTCCCGAGCGAGGAGGGGGAGGGGCGTATGTAAGTACACTTATCGAAAAAGAGGGCAAGCACAGGATTTGAAACAAAGCGGTGTTTGCGATCCCGCGAAAAGGTATACGCGAAAATATTAGCTTCTTTTTTTTCTTTCTTTTTTTTTTACTCTCGATTCGTTCGAACCATTCGTCAACATGATCAACTATTTTATCAATCCTCTCTTTCCTCTATATAGTTATATATTGATTAAAATGACGTCAATAGAAACGGATAGATAAAAATCCGTTGGTTTTGTTCAATGTTTATTATTTATAGAGATGTACTAGCAAAAAAAAAAAAAAGATGGACGAGATGATTAATAAAAAATTACGACAGGGAATGTAGTGATATCGTTGCGAGGACAGAAGGCAGCAGCGTAGTATAGGCGGCACAGGTTTTCTTTGAAGAACATCGATGACCGATACAGCTATACAGCTGTTACATTTCCCTGTTAGTTCCCGGATATTAACTCTCCCCCCTCCTCCCTCTATTCTTGTCCGTTTCACTCTCTCCCGATTTCGATTTCCAATCGTGTCCTTTTTGTCGTGGGACAAAGGGCCAACCGTGGACGATGGATACCATGAATACGAGGCGGCAACAATGAACACCGTTATCCGTTCTCTGCACCGCTTTCGACACCGCTTTC